TGAGTGAGTGAGCGAGTGTGTTAGCGAGTGTGGTAGTGTGTGAGCGAGTGTGTGAGTGAGCGAGTGTGTGAGTGAGTGAGCGAGTGTGTTAGCGAGTGTGGCAGTGTGTGAGCGAGTGTGGTAGTGTGTGAGCGAGTGTGGTAGTGTGTGAGCGAGTGTGGTAGTGTGTGAGCGAGTGTGTGGGTGAGTGAGCGAGTGTGGTATTGAGTGTGGTAGTGTGTGAGCGAGTGTGGTAGTGTGTGAGCGAGTGTGTGAGCGAGTGTGAGTGTGGTAGTGTGTGAGCGAGTGTGTGAGTGAGCGAGTGTGTGAGTGAGTGAGCGAGTGTGTTAGCGAGTGTGGCAGCGTGTGAGCGAGTGTGGTAGTGTGTGAGCGAGTGTGGTAGTGTGTGAGCGAGTGTGGTAGTGTGTGAGCGAGTGTGGTAGTGTGTGAGCGAGTGTGTGAGCGAGTGTGGTAGTGTGTGAGCGAGTGTGTGAGTGAGCGAGTGTGTGAGTGAGCGAGTGTGTGAGTGAGCGAGTGTGTTAGCGAGTGTGGCAGTGTGTGAGCGAGTGTGGTAGTGTGTGAGCGAGTGTGTGGGTGAGTGAGCGAGTTTGGTATTGAGTGTGGTAGTGTGAGTGAGTGTGGTAGTGAGTGAGTGTGTGAGCGAGTGTGAGTGTGGTAGTGTGTGAGCGAGTGTGGTAGTGTGTGAGCGAGTGTGGTAGTGTGTGAGTGTGTGAGCGAGTGTGTGTGACTGTGTGAGCGAGTGTGAGCGAGTGTGGTAGTGTGTGAGCGAGTGTGGTAGTGTGTGAGCGAGTGTGGTAGTGTGTGAGCGAGTGTGGTAGTGTGTGAGCGAGTGTGGTAGTGTGTGAGCGAGTGTGTGTGTGAGCGAGTGTGTGTGAGTGTGTGAGTGAGTGTGTGAGTGTGGTAGTGTGTGTGTGTGTGAGCGAGTGTGTGTGACTGTGTGAGCGAGTGTGAGTGAGTGTGGTAGTGTGTGAGCGAGTGTGGTAGTGTGCGAGCGAGCGAGTGTGTGAGTGAGTGTGTGAGTGAGTGTGTGAGCGAGTGTGGTAGTGTGCGAGCGAGTGTGAGCGAGTGTGTGAGCGAGTGTGCGAGCGAGTGTGTGTGAGTGTGTGAGCGAGTGTGAGTGAGTGTGTGTGCGAGTGTGTGAGTGTGTGAGCGAGTGTGGTAGTGTGCGAGCGAGTGTGAGCGAGTGTGTGAGCGAGTGTGTGTGAGTGTGCGAGCGAGTGTGAGTGAGTGTGTGTGTGAGTGAGAGTGTGAGTGAGTGAGTGTGTGTGAGTGAGTGTGTGTGTGAGTGAGCGGGCGAGTGTGTGAGCGAGTGTGTGAGCGAGTGAGTGTGTGAGCGAGTGTGTGAACGAGTGTGTGAGTGAGTGAGCGAGTGTGTGAGCGAGTGAGTGTGTGAGCGAGTGTGTGAACGAGTGTGTGAGTGTGAGTGAGCGGCCGGGTGTCATCTCTTTGTGCGCGTGCTTTGTTGCGTGCACAGTACACACACACACACACGTGTGTGTGTGTGTGCTCCTTTCTCTCTCCTCTTCCCATCTCCCCCTTCTCCCCCTCCATCTCTCCCCCCACCTCCATCTCCCACCTCCCCATCTCTCCTCCACATTCACTGTCTCATCAGCAGCAGCAGCATGGCCGGCTTTGAATCGACGCTGGTGAACTGCTCAGATGTTTATAGGCAGAGATCGGTTTCCACATTCACTGTCTCATCAGCAGCAGTAGCAGCAGCAGCATGGCCGGCTTTGAGTTGACGCTGGTGAAGTGCTCAGATGTTTATAGGCAGAGATCGGTTTCCACATTCACTGTCTCATCAGCAGCAGCATGGCCGGCTTTGAGTCGACGCTGGTGAAGTGCTCAGATGTTTATAGGCAGAGATCGGCTTCCACATTCACTGTCTCATCAGCAGCAGTAGCAGCAGGGCCGGCTTTGAGTCGACGCTGGTGAACTGCTCAGATGTTTATAGGCAGAGATCGGTTTCCACATTCACTGTCTCATCAGCAGCAGCAGCACGGCCGGCTTTGAATCGACGCTGGTGAAGTGCTCAGATGTTTATAGGCAGAGATCGGTTTCCACATTCACTGTCTCATCAGCAGCAGCAGCACGGCCGGCTTTGAGTCGAAGCTGGTGAAGTGCTCAGATGTTTATAGGCAGAGATCGGCTTCCACATTCACTGTCTCATCAGCAGCAGCATGGCCGGCTTTGAATCGACGCTGGTGAAGTGCTCAGATGTTTATAGGCAGAGATCGGTTTCCACATTCACTGTCTCATCAGCAGCAGCAGCATGGCCGGCTTTGAATCGACGCTGGTGAAGTGCTCAGATGTTTATAGGCAGAGATCGGTTTCCACATTCACTGTCTCATCAGCAGCAGCAGCATGGCCGGCTTTGAGTCGAAGCTGGTGAAGTGCTCAGATGTTTATAGGCAGAGATCGGTTTCCACATTCACTGTCTCATCAGCAGCAGCAGCATGGCCGGCTTTGAATCGACGCTGGTGAAGTGCTCAGATGTTTATAGGCAGAGATCGGTTTCCACATTCACTGTCTCATCAGCAGCAGCAGCAGGGCCGGCTTTGAGTCGACGCTGGTGAAGTGCTCAGATGTTTATAGGCAGAGATCGGTTTCCACATTCACTGTCTCATCAGCAGCAGTAGCAGCAGCATGGCCGGCTTTGAATCGACGCTGGTGAAGTGCTCAGATGTTTATAGGCAGAGATCGGTTTCCACATTCACTGTCTCATCAGCAGCAGCAGCAGCATGGCCGGCTTTGAGTCGACGCTGGTGAAGTGCTCAGATGTTTATAGGCAGAGATCGGTTTCCACATTCACTGTCTCATCAGCAGCAGCAGCAGGGCCGGCTTTGAATCGACGCTGGTGAAGTGCTCAGATGTTTATAGACAGAGATCGGCTTCCACATTCACTGTCTCATCAGCAGCAGCAGTAGCAGCATGGCCGGCTTTGAGTCGACGCTGGTGAAGTGCTCACCAGCAGTTAACCAGCGCTCTATACGCAAGGTTAATCTCTGGACCGGTTTTGACATCCATGGGTCTCGTTTAGTGAAGTTGTGCTGTTTAAAGTTGCGAATCGTTTGCGTTTCAAGTTGTTCATTGTTTTTGTCTGTCTCCTCCCCCCCTACCCCACTCTCTCCCCACTCTCTCTCTCCACCACACTTACTCTCCACTCTCCCCACTCTCTCTCCACCACACTTACTCTCCACTCTCTCCACCACACTTACTCTCCACTCTCTCTCCACCACACTTACTCTCCACTCTCTCTCCACCACACTTACTCTCCACTCTCTCTCCACCACACTTACTCTCCACTCTCCCCACTCTCTCTCCACCACACTTACTCTCCACTCTCTCCACCACACTTACTCTCCACTCTCTCTCCACCACACTTACTCTCCACTCTCCCCACTCTCTCTCCACCACACTTACTCTCCACTCTCCCCACTCTCTCTCCACCACACTTACTCTCCACTCTCTCCACCACACTTACTCTCCACTCTCTCTCCACCACACTTACTCTCCACTCTCCCCACTCTCTCTCCACCACACTTACTCTCCACTCTCTCCACCACACTTACTCTCCACTCTCTCTCCACCCCGCTCTCTCTACCCCACTCTCTCCCCACCACACTTACTCTCCACTCTCTCCACCACACTTACTCTCCACTCTCTCCACCACACTTACTCTCCACTCTCCCCACTCTCTCCACCACACTTACTCTCCACTCTCCCCACTCTCTCTCCACCACACTTACTCTCCACTCTCTCCACCACACTTACTCTCCACTCTCCCCCCACTCTCTCCACCCCGCTCTCTCCCCACTCTCCCCACTCTCTCCACCACACTTACTCTCCACTCTCTCTCCACCACACTTACTCTCCACTCTCCCCACTCTCTCTCCACCACACTTACTCTCCCAACTCTCTCTCCACCACACTTACTCTCCACTCTCCCCACTCTCTCTCCACCCCGCTCTCTCTACCCCACTCTCTCTCCTCCACACTTACTCTCCACTCTCTCTCCACCCCTCTCTCTCCCCACTCTCTCCACCACACTTACTCTCCACTCTCCCCACTCTCTCTCCACCACACTTACTCTCCACTCTCCCCCCACTCTCTCCACCCCGCTCTCTCCCCACTCTCCCCACTCTCTCTCCACCACACTTACTCTCCCAACTCTCTCTCCACCACACTTACTCTCCACTCTCTCTCCACCACACTTACTCTCCACTCTCCCCACTCTCTCTCCACCACACTTACTCTCCCAACTCTCTCTCCACCACACTTACTCTCCACTCTCTCCACCACACTTACTCTCTCCACCCCGCTCTCTCCCCACTCTCTCTCCACCACACTTACTCTCCACTCTCCCCACTCTCTCTCCACCCCGCTCTCTCCCCACTCTCTCTCCACCCCGCTCTCTCCCCACTCTCTCTCCACCCCGCTCTCTCCCCACTCTCTCTCTCCCTGCTCCCCCCCCCCCACTCTCTCCCCACTCTCTCTCTGCTCCCCCCCCCACTCTCTCCCCACTCTCTCTCCCCCACACTTACTCTCCACTCTCCCCCCACTCTCTCCACCCCACTGTCTCCTCGTTCTCTCCTCCCGCTCTCCCCACTCTCCCCCACACTTACTCTCCACTCTCCCCCCCACTCTCTCTCCCCCCACTCTCTCTCCCCCCACTCTCTCCCCCCCACGCTCTCTCTTCACGCTCTCTCTCCCCCCACTCTCTCCCCCCACTCTCTCTCCCCCCCCGCTCTCTTCCCCCCCCCACCCCCCACGCTCTCTCTCCCCCCACTCTCTCCCCCCACTCTCTCCCCCCGCTCTCTTCCCCCCCCCACCCCCCACGCTCTCTCTCCCCCCACTCTCTCCCCCCACTCTCTCCCCCCGCTCTCTTCCCCCCCCCCCACCCCCCACGCTCTCTCTCCCCCCACTCTCTCCCCCCACTCTCTCCCCCCGCTCTCTTCCCCCCCCACCCACCCCCCGCTCTCCCCACTCTGTCTCCACAGGAAAATGTTCATAGGAGGATTGAGTTGGCAGACCTCACCAGGTAAGTTTCATCACTGGGTCTGAGTGTGTCTCAGGGGGTTCACGATGACCGTGTCAGAGACACTGAGAGCCTGGGTTCAACACTGGGTCTGAGTGTCTCTCTCTCTCAGGGGGTTCACGATGGCCGTGTCAGAGACACTGAGAGCCTGGGTTCAACACTGGGTCTGGGTGTCTCTCTCTCTCTCAGGGGGTTCGTAATGGCCGTGTCAGAGACACTGAGACCCTGGGTTCAACACTGGGTCTGGGTGTCTCTCTCTCAGGGGGTTCACGATGGCCGTGTCAGAGACACTGAGACCCTGGGTTCAACACTGGGTCTGGGTGTCTCTCTCCCAGGGGTTCACAATGGCCGTGTCAGAGACACTGAGAGCCTGGGTTCAACACTGGGTCTGGGTGTCTCTCTCTCTCTCAGGGGTTTCACGATGGTCGTGTCAGAGACACTGAGAGCCTGGGTTCAACACTGGGTCTGGGTGTCTCTCTCTCAGGGGGTTCACGATGGCCGTGTGAGAGACACTGAGAACCTGGGTTCAACACTGGGTCTGGGTGTCTCTCTCTCAGGGGGTTGGCCGTGTCAGAGACACTGAGAGCCTGGGTTCAACACTGGGTCTGGGTGTCTCTCTCTCAGGGGGTTGGCCGTGTCAGAGACACTGAGAGCCTGGGTTCAACACTGGGTCTGGGTGTCTCTCTCTCAGGGGGTTCACGATGGCCGTGTCAGAGACATTGAGACCCTGGGTTCAACACTGGGTCTGGGTGTCTCTCTCTCTCAGGGGGTTCACGATGGCCGTGTCACAGACACTGAGAGCCTGGGTTCAACACTGGGTCTGGGAGGGGGAGAGAGGGACGGAGCGAGCTAGAGGGGTAGGGAGGTGAGGGGGAGATGGAGAGAGAGTGGGAGAGAGAGGGACATGGAGGGAGGGGGAGGGAGGGGGAGGGACATGGAGGGAGGGGGGGGGGACATGGAGGGAGGGGGAGGGAGGGACATGGAGGGAGGGGGAGGGGCATGGAGGGAGGGGGAGGGACATGGAGGGAGGGGGAGGGGCATGAAGGGAGGGGGAGGGGACATGGAGGGAGGGGGAGGGAGAGGGAGGGAGGGGACATGGAGGGAGGGAGGGAGATGGAGGGAGAGTGGGAGAGAGAGGGACATGGAAGGAGGGGGGGGACATGGAGGGAGGGGGAGGGAGGGGGAGGGACATGGAGGGAGGGAGGGGGAGGGACATGGATGGAGGGGGAGGGACATGGAGGGAGGGGGAGGGGCATGGAGGGGGAGGGAGGGGGAGGGAGGGGGAGGGAGGGAGATGGAGGGGGAGTGGGAGTTGTTTTTAACCAAACAAAGCCAAGTTAACAAAAGCGTGAGAGAGCACTACGTTGTGTGAGTGTGTGTGCACTGTACGTTGCGTGTGTGCACTGTACGTAATGTGTGCACTGTACGCAATGTGTGCACTGTACGTAGTGTGTGCGCACTGTACGTTGTGCGAGTGTGTGCACTGTACGTAGTGTGTGCACTGTACGTTGTGTGAGTGTGTGCACTGTACGTAGTGTGTGCACTGTACGTAGTGTGTGTGCACTGTACGTTGTGCGAGTGTGTGCACTGTACGTTGTGCGAGTGTGCACTGTACGCAGTGTGTGCGCACTGTACGCAGTGCGTGTGTGCACTGTACGTAGTGCGTGTGCACTGTACGTAGTGCGTGTGCACTGTACGTAGTGTGCGTGCACTGTACGTAGTGTGTGTGCACTGTACGTTGTGCGAGTGTGTGCACTGTACGTAGTGCGTGTGCACTGTACGTAGCGTGTGCGCACTGTACGTAGTGTGTGTGCACTGTACGTTGTGCGAGTGTGTGCACTGTACGTAGTGTGTGTGCACTGTACACTGTGTGAGTGTGTGCACTGTACGTAGTGTGTGTGCACTGTACGTAGTGTGCGTGCACTGTACGTAATGTGTGCACTGTACGTAGTGTGTGTGCACTGTACGTAGTGTGTGCACTGTACGTTGTGCGAGTGTGTGCACTGTACGTAGTGTGTGCGCACTGTACGTTGTGTGAGTGTGTGCACTGTACGCAGTGTGTGCACTGTACGTAGTGTGCGTGCACTGTACGTAGCGCGTGTGCACTGTACGTAGCGCGTGTGCACTGTACGTAGTGTGTGTGTGCACTGTACGTAGTGTGCGTGCACTGTACGTAGTGTGCGTGCACTGTACGTATTGTGTGCCCACTATACGCAGTGTGAGTGTGTGTCCACTGTACGTAGTGAGAGTGCCCACTGTACGTAGTGTGTGTCCACTGTACGTAGTGAGAGTGTGCCCACTGTACGTAGTGTGTGTCCACTGTACGTAGTGAGAGTGTGCCCACTGTACGTAGTGTGAGTGTGTGCACTGTACTGAGAGTGCGGGGAGTGGTGGCGCAGCAGTTAGCGTGGTTGTTAGCGTGGTTGTTATTGTGGTTGTTAGTGTGGTTGTTATTGTGGTTGTTAGTGTGGTTGTTAGCGTGGTTGTTATTGTGGTTGTTAGTGTGGTTGTTGTGTGGTTGTTAGTGTGGTTGTTAGTGTGGTTGTTAGCGTGGTTGTTAGCGTGGTTGTTAGTGTGGTTGTTGTGTGGCTGTTAGTGTGGTTGTTAGCGTGGTTGTTAGCGTGGTTGTTAGCGTGGTTGTTAGCGTGGTTGTTGTGTGGCTGTTAGTGTGGTTGTTAGTGTGGTTGTTGTGTGGCTGTTAGTGTGGTTGTTAGCGTGGTTGTTAGCGTGGTTGTTAGCGTGGTTGTTAGTGTGGTTGTTGTGTGGCTGTTAGTGTGGTTGTTAGCGTGGTTGTTAGCGTGGTTGTTAGCGTGGTTGTTAGCGTGGTTGTTATTGTGGTTGTTAGCGTGGTTGTTAGCGTGGTTGTTAGTGTGGTTGTTGTGTGGCTGTTAGTGTGGTTGTTAGCGTGGTTGTTAGCGTGGTTGTTAGTGTGGTTGTTGTGTGGCTGTTAGTGTGGTTGTTAGCGTGGTTGTTAGCGTGGTTGTTAGCGTGGTTGTTAGCGTGGTTGTTGTGTGGCTGTTAGTGTGGTTGTTAGTGTGGTTGTTGTGTGGCTGTTAGTGTGGTTGTTAGCGTGGTTGTTAGCGTGGTTGTTAGTGTGGTTGTTGTGTGGCTGTTAGTGTGGTTGTTAGCGTGGTTGTTAGCGTGGTTGTTAGCGTGGTTGTTAGCGTGGTTGTTATTGTGGTTGTTAGCGTGGTTGTTAGCGTGGTTGTTAGTGTGGTTGTTGTGTGGCTGTTAGTGTGGTTGTTAGTGTGGTTGTTAGCGTGGTTGTTAGCGTGGTTGTTAGCGTGGTTGTTAGCGTGGTTGTTAGCGTGGTTGTTAGCGTGGTTGTTAGCGTGGTTGTTAGCGTGGTTGTTAGCGTGGTTGTTAGCGTGGTTGTTAGCGTGGTTGTTAGCGTGGTTGTTAGCGTGGTTGTTAGCGTGGTTGTTAGCGTGGCTGTTAGCGTGGCTGTTAGCGTGGTTGTTAGCGTGGTTGTTAGCGTGGTTGTTAGCGTGGTTGTTAGCGTGGTTGTTAGCGTGGTTGTTAGCGTGGTTGTTAGCGTGGTTGTTAGCGTGGCTGTCAGCGTGGTTGTCAGCGTGGCTGTTAGTGTGGTTGTTAGCGTGGTTGTTAGCGTGGTTGTTAGCGTGGCTGTTAGCGTGGCTGTTAGCGTGGTTGTTAGCGTGGTTGTTAGCGTGGTTGTTAGCGTGGTTGTTAGCGTGGTTGTTAGCGTGGTTGTTAGCGTGGTTGTTAGCGTGGTTGTTAGCGTGGTTGTTAGCGTGGTTGTTAGCGTGGTTGTTAGCTTGGTTGTTAGCGTGGTTGTTAGCGTGGTTGTTAGCGTGGTTGTTAGCGTGGTTGTTAGCGTGGTTGTTAGCGTGGTTGTTAGCGTGGTTGTTAGCGTGGTTGTTAGCGTGGTTGTTAGCGTGGTTGTCAGCGTGGTTGTCAGCGTCGTTGTCAGCGTGGTTGTTAGCGTGGTTGTTAGCGTGGTTGTTAGCGTGGTTGTTAGCGTGGTTGTTAGCGTGGTTGTTAGCGTGGTTGTTAGCGTGGCTGTCAGCGTGGTTGTTAGCGTGGTTGTTAGCGTGGTTGTTAGCGTGGTTGTTAGCGTGGTTGTTAGCGTGGTTGTTGTGTGGCTGTTAGTGTGGTTGTTAGCGTGGTTGTTAGCGTGGTTGTTAGCGTGGTTGTTAGCGTGGTTGTTAGCGTGGCTGTCAGCGTGGTTGTTAGCGTGGTTGTTAGCGTGGTTGTTAGTGTGGTTGTTAGCGTGGTTGTTAGTGTGGTTGTTAGCGTGGTTGTTAGTGTGGTTGTTAGCGTGGTTGTTAGCGTGGTTGTTAGCGTGGTTGTTAGCGTGGCTGTCAGCGTGGTTGTTAGCGTGGTTGTTAGCGTGGTTGTTAGCGTGGTTGTTAGCGTGGTTGTTGTGTGGCTGTTAGTGTGGTTGTTAGCGTGGTTGTTAGCGTGGTTGTTAGCGTGGTTGTTAGCGTGGTTGTTAGCGTGGTTGTTAGCGTGGTTGTTAGCGTGGTTGTTAGCGTGGTTGTTAGCGTGGTTGTTAGCGTGGTTGTTAGCGTGGCTGTTAGCGTGGCTGTTAGCGTGGTTGTTAGCGTGGCTGTTAGCGTGGTTGTTAGCGTGGTTGTTAGCGTGGTTGTTAGCGTGGTTGTTAGCGTGGTTGTTAGCGTGGTTGTTAGCGTGGTTGTTAGCGTGGCTGTTAGCGTGGCTGTTAGCGTGGTTGTTAGCGTGGTTGTTAGCGTGGTTGTTAGCGTGGTTGTTAGCGTGGTTGTTAGCGTGGCTGTTAGCGTGGCTGTTAGCGTGGTTGTTAGCGTGGCTGTTAGCGTGGTTGTTAGCGTGGTTGTTAGCGTGGTTGTTAGCGTGGTTGTTAGCGTGGTTGTTAGCGTGGTTGTTAGCGTGGTTGTTAGCGTGGTTGTTAGCGTGGTTGTCAGCGTGGCTGTCAGCGTGGTTGTCAGCGTGGTTGTTAGCGTGGTTGTTAGCGTGGCTGTCAGCGTGGTTGTTAGCGTGGTTGTTAGCGTGGTTGTTAGCGTGGTTGTTAGCGTGGTTGTTAGCGTGGTTGTTGTGTGGCTGTTAGCGTGGTTGTTAGCGTGGTTGTTAGCGTGGTTGTTAGCGTGGTTGTTAGCGTGGTTGTTAGCGTGGGTGTTAGCGTGGCTGTTAGCGTGGCTGTTAGCGTGGTTGTTAGCGTGGTTGTTAGCGTGGTTGTTAGCGTGGTTGTTAGCGTGGTTGTTAGCGTGGTTGTTAGCGTGGCTGTTAGCGTGGCTGTTAGCGTGGCTGTTAGCGTGGCTGTTAGCGTGGCTGTTAGCGTGGTTGTTAGCGTGGCTGTTAGCGTGGCTGTTAGCGTGGCTGTTAGCGTGGCTGTTAGCGTGGCTGTTAGCGTGGTTGTTAGCGTGGTTGTTAGCGTGGTTGTTAGCGTGGTTGTTAGCGTGGCTGTTAGCGTGGCTGTTAGCGTGGCTGTTAGCGTGGCTGTTAGCGTGGTTGTTAGCGTGGTTGTTAGCGTGGTTGTCAGCGTGGCTGTCAGCGTGGTTGTTAGCGTGGTTGTTAGCGTGGCTGTTAGCGTGGCTGTTAGCGTGGTTGTTAGTGTGGTTGTTAGCGTGGTTGTTAGCGTGGTTGTTAGCGTGGTTGTTAGCGTGGTTGTTTGCGTGGTTGTTAGCGTGGTTGTTAGCGTGGTTGTTAGCGTGGTTGTTAGCGTGGTGGTGGTGTGCGGTTGATGTCGCCACTGGGGGAGAGACTAAGGTGTTGATCTGATGTGTTGATATTATGTTGTGATGTGCTGATGTGTTGTTGATGTTGTTATTGTGTTGTGTTGATGCGTTGATGTTGTCTTGTTGATGTGATGTTGTTGATGTGATGTAGATGATGTGATGTTTTAATGTTGATGATGTGATGTTGTTGATGTGTTGTTGTTGATGTGTTGATGTTGTTATTGTGTTGTGTTGATGCGTTGATGTTGTCTTGTTGATGTGATGTTGTTGATGTGATGTAGATGATGTGATGTTTTAATATTGATCATGTGATGTTGTTGATGTGTTGTTGTTGATGCGTTGATGTTGTGTTGTTGATGTGATGTAGATGATGTGATGTTTTAATATTGATCATGTGATGTTGTTATTGTGTTGTGTTGATGCGTTGATGTTGTGTTGTTGATGTGATGTAGATGACGTGATGTTTTAATGATGATGCGTTGATGTTGTGATGTGATGTAGATGATGTGATGATGTGATGTAGATGATGTGATGATGTGATGTTGTTGATGTGTTGTTGTTGATGCGTTGATGTTGTGTTGTTGATGTGATGTAGATGACGTGATGTTTTAATGATGATGCGTTGATGTTGTGATGTGATGTAGATGATGTGATGATGTGATGTTGTTGATGTGTTGTTGTTGATGTGTTGTTGTTGATGTGTTGATGTTGTTATTGTGTTGTGTTGATGCGTTGATGTTGTGTTGTTGATGTGATGTAGATGACGTGATGTTTTAATGATGATGCGTTGATGTTGTGATGTGATGTAGATGTTGTTGATGTGATGTTGTTGATGTGTTGTTGTTGATGTGATGTAGATGATGTTGATGTGTTGTTGTTGATGTGTTGATGTTGTTATTGTGTTGTGTTGATGCGTTGATGTTGTTGATGTGATGTTGATGACGTGATGTTTTAATGTTGATGTGATGTTGTTGATGTGATGTTGTTGATGTGATGATGTGATGTTGTTGATGTGTTGTTGTTGATGTGTTGTTGTTGATGTTGTTGCAGAGTCTCTCCGTGATTACTTTGGAAAGTTTGGGGAAGTCAGCGAGTGCATGGTGATGAGGGACCCCACCACCAAGAGGTCCAGGTAACGACAACAACAACAACATCAACACTGACAACATCATCAACACTGACAACATCATCACTGACAACATCATCATGACTAACATCATCGTCATCACCATTAACATCAACATCATCACTAACATCACCATCATCACTGACAACATCAACATCATCACTAACATCACCATCATCATCACTAACTAACAATCACCATCATCACTATCATCACCACTAACATCACTAGCATCATCATCTCCATCATCATCACTAACATCACCATCATCACTAACTAACAATCACCATCATCACTATCATCACCACTAACATTACTAACATCATCACCATCATCACTAACTAACAATCACCATCATCACTATTATCACCACTAACATCACTAGCATCATCATCATCATCACTAACATCACCATCATCACTAACATCACCATCACCACTAACATCACCAACATCACCATCACCACTAACATCACCAACATCACCATCACCACTAACATCATCGTCATCACCATTAACATCAACATCATCACTAACATCACTATCATCACTGACAACATCACCATCATCACTAACTAACAATCACCATCATTACTATCATCACCACTAACATCATCATCACTAACATCATCATCACTAACATCATCATAACTAACATCACCACTAACATCACCATCACCACTAACATCACCAACATCACCAACTAACATCACCAATATCATCATCAACATCACTAACAACATCATCATCATCACTAACTCACATCACCATCGTCACTAACATCACCATCATCACTAACTAACATCACCACTAACATCATCTCCATCATCACTAACTAATATCACCACTAACATCATCACCATCATCACTAACTAACATCACCATCATCACTAACTAACAATCACCATCATCACTATCATCACCACTAATATCACTAACATCACCATCATCACTAACATCACCACTAACATCATCACCATCATCACTAACTAACATCACCACTAACATCACCATCATCACTAACTAACATCACCATCATCACTAACTAACAATCACCATCATCACTATCATCACCACTAACATCACTAACAACATCATCATCACTAACATCACCATCATCACTAACTAACATCACCACTAACATCATCACCATCATCACTAACTAACATCACCATCATCACTAACTAACAATCACCATCATCACTATCATCACCACTAACATCATCATCACTAACATCACCATCATCACTAACTAACATCACCACTAACATCATCACCATCATCACTAACTAACATCACCACTAACATTATCACCATCATCACTAACTAACATCACCACTAACATCACCATCATCACTAACTAACATCACCATCATCACTAACATCACCATCATCACCACTAACATCACCATCATCACCACTAACATCACCACTATCATCACCACTAACATCACCACTAACATCATCACCACTAACATCACCACTAACATCACCACTAACATCACCATCACCACTAACATCACCACTAACATCACCACTAACATCACCACTAACATCACCACTAACATCACCACTAACATCACCACTAACATCACCACTAACATCATCACCATCATCACTAACATCACCACTAACATCACCACTAACATCACCATCATCACTAACATCATCACCAACATCCTCACTAACATCACCAACATGGTTGTAGTAATGTTTTGTGGTGGTGGTAGTGGTGGTTGTAGTAATGTGGTGGTGATTGTTGTTGTGGTGGTGGTGGTTGTTGTGGTGGTGATGCAGGGGGTTTGGGTTTGTGACGTACATCGACCCTGGCAGCGTAGACCACTAACATCATCACCATCATCACTAACATCATCACCACTAACATCATCACTAACATCATCACCACTAACATCATCACCATCATCACCACTAACATCATCACCATCATCACCACTAACATCATCACCATCATCACCACTAACATCATCACCAACATCATCACTAACATCACCACTAACATCATCACCATCACCACTAACATCATCACCATCACCACTAACATCACCACTAACATCACTAACATCACCATCATCACTAACCTTGCTAGCATCATCTCCATCACTAACTAGCATCACCATCCTCACTAACATCACCAACATGGTTGTAGTAATGTTGTTGTGGTGGTGGTAGTGGTTGTAGTAATGTGGTGGTGATTGTTGTGGTGGTGGTTGTTGTTGTTGTTGTTGTGATGCAGGGGGTTTGGGTTTGTAACTTACACCGACCCTGGCAGCGTAGACAAAGTCCTCGCACAGTCCCACCACGAGCTGGACTCCAAAACCGTGAGTGGGCACCACGCACTCTGCAGCCTCCACACTGCACCACGCACTGTACCACGCACTGCACCACGCACTGTACCACGCACTGTACCACGCACTGTACCACGCACTGCACCACGCACTGCACCACGCACTGCACCACGCACTGTACCACGCACTGTACCACGCACTGCACCACGCACTGCACCACGCACTGTACCACGCACAGCACCACGCACTGTACCACACACCGCAGCACACACTGTACCACACAGGGCACCACACACTGTACCACACACTGCACCACACACTGTACCACGCATTGCACCACACACTGCACCACGCACTGTACCACACACCGCACCACACTCTGCAGCCTCCACACTGTACCACGCACTGCACCACACACCGCACCACGCACTGTACCACGCACTGCACCACGCACTGTACCACGCACTGTACCCTGCACCACACACCGTACCACACACTGTACCATGCACTGTACCACACACCGCACCACGCACTGTACCACGCACTGTACCCTGCACCACACACCGTACCACACACTGTACCATGCACTGTACCACACACCGCACCACACACTGCACCACGCACTGCACCACACACCGCACCACACACTGTACCACACCGCACCACACACTGTACCACGCACCGCAGCACACACTGTACCACGCACTGTACCACACTGCAGCACACACGGCACCACACACTGTACCACGCACCGCACCACGCACTGCACCACGCACTGCACCACGCACTGTACCACTCACTGTACCACGCACTGCACCACGCACTGCACCACACACTACCACACTGTACCACACTGTACCACGCACTGCACCATGCACCACACACTGTACCCTGCACCACAAACTGTACCCCGCACCACACACTGTACCCCGCACCACTCACTGTACCCTGCACCACACACTGTACCCCGCACCACACACTGTACCCTGCACCACACACTGTACCCTGCACCCTGCACCACACACTGTACCCTGCACCACACACTGTACCCTGCACCACACACTGTACCCTGCACACTGCACCACACACTCTCTCCACCACCACACCACCACTACCGTCACCACCACCACCGTCGTCACCACTATCACCGTCACGACCACCACCACTATCACCGTCACCACCACCGTCACCACCACCACTATCACCATCACCACTATCACCGTCACCACCACCACTATCACCGTCACCACCACCGTCACCACCACCACTATCACCATCACCACTATCACCGTCACCACTATCACCGTCACCACCACCACTGTCACCGTCACCACCACCACCGTCACCACCACCGTCACCACCACCGTCACCATCACCGTCACCACCACTATCACCGTCACCACCACTATCACCGTCACCACCACCACCACCACTATCACCGTCACCACCGTCACCACCACCATCATCACCACTATCACCACCACCACCGTCACCATCACCATCACCACCACCACCACCATCGTCACCACCACCACTATCACCGTCACCATCACCACCACCACCACTACCACAACTCACCGTCACCACCGTCACCACCACTATCACCGTCACCACCGTCACCATCACCACCACCACTATCACCGTCACCACCGCCACCACCACTATCACCGTCACCACCACCACTATCACCGTCACCACCACCACTATCACCGTCACCACCACCACCATCACCGTCACCACCACCGTGGTTAAACACAGGTTGCTGTTAATGTTGTTGTTGTTGTGGTTGATGTTGTTGATGTCAATGTTGTTGATGTCAATGTTGTTGATGTCAATGTTGTTGATGTTGTTGATGTCAATGTTGTTGATGTTGTTGATGTTGTTTGTTCATCAGATCGACCCGAAAGTTGCATTCCCCCGAAGAACACAGCCAAAGGTGAGACCCTGGGTTCAACACTGGGTCTGGGTGTCTCTCTCTCTCTCTCTCAGGGGGTTCACGATGGCCGTGTCAGAGACACTGAGAGCCTGGATGAGTGTGGGTCTATACGAGTGTGGGTGTCTCTGGGTGTCTCTATGGGTGTCTCCGGGTGTGTGTGGGTGTCTCTGGGTGTGTGTGGGTGTCTCTGGGTGTCTCTGTGGGTGTCTGTGAGTCTCTGGGTGTCTCTGTGTGTGGGTGTCTCTGGGTGATTCTCTGTGGGTGTCTGTGGGTGTCTCTGTATGGGTCTGTGTGGGTCTCTGTGGGTCTATACGAGCGTCTGGATGAGTGTGGGTCTATACGAGTGTGGGTGTCTCTGGGTGTCTCTGTGGGTGTCTCTGGGTGTCTCTGTATGGGTCTGTGTGGGTCTCTGTGGGTCTATACGAGCGTCTGGATGAGTGTGGGTCTATACGAGTGTGGGTGTCTCTGGGTGTCTCTGTGGGTGTCTGTGGGTGTCTCTGTATGGGTCTGTGTGGGTCTCTGTGGGTCTATACGAGCGTCTGGATGAGTGTGGGTCTATACGAGTGTGGGTGTCTCTGGGTGTCTCTGTGGGTGTCTGTGGGTGTCTCTGTATGGGTCTGTGTGGGTCTCTGTGGGTCTATACGAGCATCTGGATGTGTGTGGGTCTATACGAGTGTGGGTGTCTCTGGGTGTCTCTGTGGGTGTCTCTGGGTGTCTCTGTATGGGTCTGTGTGGGTCTCTATGGGTCTATACGAGCGTCTGGATGAGTGTGGGTCTATACGAGTGTGGGTGTCTCTGTGTGTGGGTGTCTCTGTGTGTGGGTGTCTCTGTGTGTGGGTGTCTCTGGGTGTGTGTGGGTGTCTCTGGGTGTGTGTGGGTGTCTCTGGGTGTGTGTGGGTGTCTCTGGGTGTGTGTGGGTGTCTCTGGGTGTGTGTGGGTGTCTCTGGGTGATTCTCTGTGGGTGTTTCTGTATGGGTCTGTGTGGGTCTCTATGGGTCTATACGAGCATCTGGATGAGTGTGGGTCTATACGAGTGTGGGTGTCTCTGGGTGTCTCTGTGGGTGTCTCTGTATGGGTCTGTGTGGGTCTCTATGGGTCTATACGAGCATCTGGATGAGTGTGGGTCTATACGAGTGTGGGTGTCTCTGGGTGTCTCTGTGGGTGTCTCTGGGTGTCTCTGTATGGGTCTGTGTGGGTCTCTATGGGTCTATACGAGCATCTGGATGAGTGTGGGTCTATACGAGTGTGGGTGTCTCTGGGTGATTCTCTGTGGGTGTCTGTGGGTGTCTCTGTATGGGTCTGTGTGGGTCTCTATGGGTCTATACGAGCATCTGGATGAGTGTGGGTCTATACGAGTGTGGGTGTCTGTGTGTGTGGGTGTCTCTGTGTGTGGGTGTCTCTGGGTGTGGGTGGCTCTGGGTGTCTCTGTGTGTGGGTGTCTCTGGGTGTGTGTTGGTGTCTCTGGGTGTGTGTGGGTGTCTCTGGGAGTGTGTGGGTGTGGGTGTCTCTGTGTGTGGGTGGCTCTGGGTGTCTCTGTGTCTCTGGGTGTCTCTGTGAGTCTCTGGGTGTCTCTGTGGGTGTCTGTATGGGTCTGTGTGGGTCTGGGTCTCTGTGTGTCTCCTCTGTGGGTCTCTGTGTGTGGGTGTCTCTGTGAGTCTCTGGGTGTCTCTGTGAGTCTCTGGGTGTCTCTGTGAGTCTCTGGGTGTCTCTGTGTGTGTGTGTGGGTGTATGTTAGTGTGTGGGTGTATGTTAGTGTGTGTGCGTGTGTTGGTGAGCGGTGGTGTAGCGGTGTGCGCTTCGAACCCGGCGACCCGAGTTCGATTCCCGCTCACGGCCAACGCCGGCGGTGACGATTATCTGAACCGGTCCTGGGCCTCCCCTAGGTCGACTCAGCCTCAAATGAGTACCTGGTGCGGTGTGTAAACATCGCCACTGGGGAGACAAAGGCGGTCGGGCGTGGTGCTGGCCACCCACCCCCTCGTGTGCCGTGCCGGCCTTCATAGACGCTGCTACTCACGAGCAGCACTGTCCCCTACAGCCTGTTACAGGCTACACGGGGGATCTTTGTCTTTGTAGGGGCAGGGGTGGGTGTGAGATTCCTCATCCAGGGTTCATAATGGCCGGCACCGAGATCCACGGACGCACTCACCAACTCACCCCATCGCTTGTTCACCCACTCACTCACTCACTCACCTACTCACTCACCCACTCACTCACTCACCCACCCACTCACTCATCTACTCACTCACCAACTCACCCCATCGCTTGTTCACCCACTCACTCACTCACCTACTCACTCACCTACTCACTCACCTACTCACTCACCTACTCACTCACCTACTCACTCACCTACTCACTCACTCACCCACTCATTCATCTACTCACTCACCCACTCACCTACTCACTCACCAACTCACCCCATCGCTTGTTCACCCACTCACTCACTCACCTACTCACTCAACTACTCACTCACCTACTCACTCACTCACCTACTCACTCACCTACTCACTCACCCACTCATTCATCTACTCACTCACCCACTCACCTACTCACTCACCAACTCACCCCATCGCTTGTTCACCCACTCACTCACTCACCTACTCACTCACCTACTCACTCACCCACTCGCTCACCAACTCACCCCATCGCTTGTTCACCCACTCACTCACTCACTCACCGAACTCACTCACCAACTCACCCCATCGCTTGTTCACCCACTCACTCACTCACTCACCTACTCACTCACCTACTCACTCACTCACTCACCCACCCACTCACTCACTCACCTACTCACTCACCTACTCACTCACCCACTCGCTCACCAACTCACCCCATCGCTTGTTCACCCACTCACTCACTCACCTACTCACTCACCTACTCACTCACTCACCTACTCACTCACCTACTCACTCACCCACTCACTCACCCACTCACTCACCAACTCACCCCATCGCTTGTTCACCCACTCACTCACTCACCTACTCACTCAACTACTCACTCACCTACTCACTCACCTACTCACTCACTCACTCACCCACCCACTCACTCACTCATCTACTCACTCACCTACTCACTCACCTACTCACTCACTCACCTACTCACTCACCAACTCACCCCATCGCTTGTTCACCCACTCACTCACTCACCTACTCACTCACCTACTCACTCACTCACCTACTCACTCACCTACTCACTCACTCACCTACTCACTCACCTACTCACTCACTCACCTACTCGCTCACCTACTCGCTCGCCTACTCGCTCACCACCTCACCCCATCGCTTGTTCACCCACTCACTCACTCACCTACTCACTCACCTACTCACTCACCTACTTGCTCACCTACTCACTCACCTACTCGCTCACCTACTCACTCACCAACTCACTCACCTACTCACTCACCAACTCACTCACTCACCTACTCACTCACCTACTCACTCACCTACTCACTCATCTACTCACTCACCTACTCACTCATCTACTCACTCATCCACTCACTTATCCACTCACTCACCCACTCACTCATCTACTCACTCACCAACTCACCCCATCGCTTGTTCACCCACTCACTCACCCACTCACTCACTCACCCACTCACTCACCTACTCACCCACTTGCTCAGTCACTCACTCACCTACTCACTCATCTACTCACTCGCCTACTCACTCATCCACTCACTCAGTCACCCACTCACTCACCTACTCACTCACCCACTCACTCATCTACTCACCCACTCACTCACCAACTCACCCCATTGTTTGTTCACCCACTCACTCACCCACTCACTCACCTACTCACTCATCTACTCACTCACCCACTCACTCATCTACTCACTCATCTACTCACTCACCTACTCACTCACTCACTCGCCTACTCACCCACCCACTCGCTAACTCTCCCTGTCGCCTTGCCTGCCACCCACCGACTCACGCTCACCAACACGTTCACTCGCCCTCTCATTCCCCCACCCACTCATCCACTCACTCACTCAGTCACTTGCTTACTCACTCGCACACCCACTCACTCATCCACTCACTCACTCAGTCACTCGCCCGTTCATCCACCCACCCACTCACTCATCCACTCACCCACTCACTCACTCAGTCACTCACTCAGCCACTCATACACTCACCCACTCACCAACTCGCCCATGGCTTGCTTGCCACTCACCCACGCTCACCAACGTGTTCACTCAGCTGCTCGCTCATTCGCTCACCCACTCACCTACTCATCCACCCAGCCACTCATCCGCTCACCCACTCCGTCACTCGCCTGCTCATTCCTCCACCTACCCACTCAGTCACTCACCCACTCACTCAGTCACTCACATGCTCATTCACCCACCCACTCAGTCACTCAGTCACTCGCCCGCTCATTCACCCACTCACTCACTCACTCATACACTTACCCACTCACTCGCCCACTCATCCACTCACTCATCCACTCACTCATCCACTCACTCATCCACTCAGTCACTCACGCATCCACTCACTCACTCGCCCACTAACTCACCCATTCATCCACTCACCCGCTCGCTCGCTTATCCACTTACCCACTCACTCGCCCATTCACTCACTCACCCACTCACTCACCCACTCACTCATCCACTCAGTCCACTCAGTCACTCACTCGCTCGCCCACTAACTCACCCATTCATCCACTCACTCACCCACTCGCTCGCTCATACACTTACCCACTCAGTGCATTCACCTACTCACCCGCTCACTCATCTACTCACTCGCTCTTCCACTCAACCACTCACTCAGCCACTCGCCCACTCGCTCATCCACTCACTCGCTCATCCACTCACTCGCTGATCCACTCACTCGCTGATCCACTCACTCGTTCATCCACTCACTCGCTGATCCACTCACCCACCTACTCATCCACTCACACACTCGCTCTCACACACACTCGCACACTGTCTCATCCACTAACACACACTCACCACACTCATACACTCACCCACCTACTCATCCACTCACACACTCGCTCTCACA